TTCCGGCTGCCACACACCTGCAAATGGCCATCGTTTCGTTGGTTGGGTAGGGGAGACAATGAAGGGCAAAAGGCTCCTCTAAGTATATGATCGAATGAGGACTTGTGATGGGTGGTACTGTTGGAGGGGAGCTGTATGGGAGGCATAGGAGGGGATATTCTACTGGCATAAGTATACTTGGCCTGTAGGCAGAGAGAAGACCTATATGTGCTTCATAGCTATAGACTCAGACAAGAAAGTAAAATGAAATAATAATAATAATGGTTCGAGACTCACTACTCCAAACTTTTTCTCCTTACAAGCTCTTTTCCGGCTGAAAACTTATCAGGACTACCAGCACGACCAAGTACACACTAGGTTCAATGAACAAACCTCTCAACTCGTTCTTTGACCTCAGCTGGCCCCCTAAATCCTAGCCCACGATCTTACGAATACCCGTAGAAAGCCACCAACCACGGCGCACAAATCTGATAGAGAAATCAATAGTCTGTAATGGAGAAGATTTAGGATAGAAAAGCTAGATGATGCCAAGGATGCATAGAGGCCTTGAAAGGGGTGCGCCTTCGATTATTTTGGAAACAGTTTTCACTCTCAAGAGCATCGTATGCTTCACGATTTCGTTGCTGAGAGTGCAAACAAATCCATAATTTCGCACCAGGTCAGTACTTTACAGGAATTGTGGAGAGCCTGGAGACTTCTCACCCAAGATGTGACATCGGCGGCTCGAATCCAGCAAGGCTCTAATACATTTCTCGAGATGCTCGTCTTCATGGATGACGGAGGCCTGCTTCGATACCAAAATGATTCGAATACCTATTTGATGTGTACTGACGGACGAGGATAGACTTTCGGGCTTAAAAATATAAGGCTCATAGTGGTAACTACGAATTAAATCGAGAGCTTGAATGTCTCTGAAGTCAAAGCAAGTATCCAACAGATCAAAATGCACTGATCAATTGTTCTAGCACGTAGTTGAATAAATAAAATGTATATTCATGATAAAGGCGCGGCAGTTGAGGTTTTTTGAAATAGCGATTATATCCGATTAATGCCTACCAATGGCGTCTCCTACAACGTTCTAGCCCTTCTCGTAGAACCTGTAGTGCCTAGCCACTTGAATTTCGCTATTACTGTGCAGACGAAGCATTTTTCTTAGGATTCATTCTCAATATTGGTATTGGGAAAATACCATACTCAGTGACTTTTACGAGCTGACTCGGTTGTAATTTCTCTACAAAAGGCTTTCGTTTGGTTCACCAAATTAAAAATGTTCAAAATTTTACATTTCTTTCGGGAGATTGATCGAGTGAAGGTTTTTGAGGGGTTTTCTTTTGCGTGTCAGCTGGAATATTTGAGTTACTGCTTCTTAAGCTACTTGGGCTGTGAACTATCTGTTGGAAATTCAAACCCTGTGTGTCTGAAGTTTCCCTATTATTGGAACAACTAAGATTCTCACACATGACACACGACTTGACTCACGACCTAGATAATTGATATCTTGTTACAATATGATTCCTCTGGACGGGTAATACAGCAGTACTGTTACTGGAATATTTGGAAGTAGATTTGATAAAATATAGGGTTAAATCGTTGCGTGTGTCTTCGTCTCTACGTCTACGCGCTTAATAGAAGTATCGCGATCTCGCACCCTCTAATCTATCGCTCCTAGTCTCATCCACACGCTATTATGAAACTACTAATACAGGGTATATAAAATCAACAGACGCCTTACCCTTTTTAACTCCTAGGCAACCAATAACCACAACCCTAACTCCATTATGTTAAATTGTAGGGATGATTATGTTTGACCAACCCTTCTTATAATTTAACATATCTCCTTTATTTAGCATGTTTGATGCTTGAGACTCAACTAGTACATGGTATGGTTTGATGTCCATGTAAACTTTCATCCAGCGACTCTGACCCCATACTCATGTTGTATAATGTCGTGCGATTCATTGTCATTGTTAGAGTATGGAACGAGTGATAGATGGTATCTAATTTGGATTTGGTCTATCAAGTATAGATGTATGTGAGCTGTCTAGGAATCACCAGGACAAATAATTGATCAATTAATTCAATCCATTTTTTATTTCTCTACAGTCTATCACATATTCTCCCGATTAATATCATTATTATTCTATTCATGAACCGCGCCCATATTCTTTGAGCCGCCTTACTCATCGAGCCCATACCGATTTTCCAACATTATCTAGCACATTGAGATCCGATCCTCTTCTATTACGAAATGAAGATCTCTGATGCAATATCCGTGATAGATAGCTATTTAGTTAAGTAATTATTTGTAAGAATTAGCCTCTTCTTTTGGGGAACCTCCTACAAAGAAGATAGCAATGGGCGCTGCGTACGCGGGGAAACTGCTCAAAATGCCTGTGGCCCCAGCTAGTAGAGGCCTATAAACAACGTTTTAGTTGTCATAGAAATATAGCTGAATACAATATAAACTATTTTTAAAGGAGAGGCTTAGACACTGGATTCACATGAGGTACGTATGTGCATCTAAATTTCTTCTTCTTGTAACAAAAGAGGACAACTTGATTCATTCCATCACCGCCGCAATAGATGTTGGGTATGCTTCAGAAATTGATTGAATAGTTTCTACTCATTGACCAAAGGCGACTGAATTGTATGAAAGTCTTCGACCAAACTGTCTAATCTGATCATAGTGCGAAGGAGATGTGCTGACGTACGATATCGAAACTTGCAGCAAATCCGCTAATGATTTGCGACTCTTTCTAGCTATTTCAGGCACGAAGAGTACACTTGGAATTTACGCCAGAACCGCTGGAAGTTTAGCAAAAGATCTTAACGATCGTGTGAGTCATGGAGGGAGTGTAGAAGAAAACTATCTGAGGTACACTTGAAAGATTCTCTACTGTGACGGAAACCGAGTTGGTGATGAATAAATCGATTTATTAAACTATATGAAAAGGATAGAAATCTCCAGCTACTACTAACAGGTACTTATAACGTTTGGTCCGGAGGGCAAGACTGAACACCTGTATGCGGTGTCCTCTACGAACCTGGGAGTGAAATATTCTCCCAGAGCCAAGTTCAGTCAAACTTCGCGATACCGAACAAGTTGGCCCACGAGGCAATGATTCAAATTACTCCACCATATCAATCTTTCACTCCCAACGAAATCGATTCCTACCTAAACCTCATCAAGTTTACAAGTACGACCTAGTACATCCTAATCCCAATGACCACACCTCTTGTCGACTTTCTCTGGCCTTAGCTGGTCGCCAGATACACGCCCACGCCGATATTTACACCCGACGGAGGAAGCAAAGCGTGGCGCACAAATCTGGAAGACAATTCCTTGGGATGGATGTGAGAGGGATCAGGACAAGTTAATAAGATGATGCAAAGGATTGGATACAGTCTCGACGGGCGTGGAATTTTGTATTTTGGCAAGAGTTTAACGAATTGAGCTTTGTGCGCGCCATGACTTCGCTTGCGAGAATGCAGCTGACACTATAAACGCCGCCATGGTTGGATGGTGCGGTGGTACATCAGCTTGGCCGGTCTGCCAAGTAGAGTCTGGATAGCTTGGACACATATCCCACTTGAGACAGTAGATCGCTGGTTCGAATCCGGCAAAACACAACCACATTTCTCGCGGCGCTGGTATGCATGGATGACGAAGGCATGCTTGGATAATCAAAGGTTTTGAAATTCCCTTTGGTGGGTACTAACGGAGGAGGGTCGACTGTTTGTGTAAGCAAACATACCTCATAGTGGTATTTGCAAATGAAATCCAGAGTTTGAGTGTCTCTAACGTCAAAAGAGTCATCCCACATGTATACATAGCACCGGTCATGTGTCATAGCTAGATAGCTGAATACACATTAAATGATTCAAAAAAAAAAAAAACGTTTGGTCCGTTTCGTGAATCTGCTGACTGATAACTTCCCCCTAGGCCTAATACTTGCTACCGAGCCAAGTATTAACAGGAGCCATTGAGCTATGATGTTACTTTGACCTCCTGGCTAGTAGTGCCATTTCATCTCTATTTGCCCATCCTTCCTCTTTCGGTCTTATCGTTTTTATTCCTAATTAAACGCTTAGGTTTCCTCCTAAGCTAAAACAACGGTCAAACAGTAACATCTACATAATACATGCTCGTCACTTACGAATAATTCTCCTTGGGTGAAAGGATGGGTTGCATCTTCTAAATTTTGAGAAAAGGCAGCTGTAGTTTCAAGCTCTCAGAGATACACTTTTGATTACTTTCACTAACTTTACTTTTAAAAGTTGATGATCATTCGCAAATTTATGATCATGTAAACAAAGGGTAGGACTCCACAAAATTTTTATTCCTTTAAAACTGGAATAGACTTTGTGGGTTAACTGTCCATCATCTATGGAATTAAAGGTATAAGTAGTACGGCTGAAGATGTTCTCACGCAACAACAATCTTCAACGTGTTTTGTAAGCATTAACTCGGTAATCTGAATATTTTTCCATGATGTGGAATACTAGGTCAAGAAAGTTTATTAGAAGCTGGAAAGCGGCGAATTTGTTAGGTATCCATTCTTTCCGCAGAGAATTGTGTTATGATATTTTTCTAGATCTCACTTTTTTCATAGCATTGTATAATTTAGAGTTGAAGCAAAGAACTTTGTTAGGGAGACTACAGCCGGGGCAAGTTTATCGTTTTCATTGATATAGACTTCTTTTGGATCCTGGTTTTTTCTTTCCAGTTTTCTCCACATTGCCTAGGAATAAAATTTATGGGGTATAACCAATTAACAGGAGTAGCCTTAGCATCGGGCCTTCAAATTTCAAATTCCAAACCTTTTTGGAAAAGTTTGTCAAATGAGATATCAAGCTCTTAATTTTCAACTTGTATACGACCATAAACTTAGCGAAACATGTCATGTAAGGTGTGAAAAATATACAGTGCATGCTAAGGATTCGCTTTCTCTTCCGAATTGATTTCCTCCAGACAGCCGATAAACAGTACTGATAAAAAATTATCTTAGTCTTCGAGCTTCACGTTCAGACTCAAGTAAGCAGAGTATATCATCCTCGCGGACTAAGGTAAGTGTTAGCCCTAATGTTTGAGCAAGTACAAGTTGCTGGCGGTAGATATTATGAAGTCCGTCTTACCTGGGCCTTTTACATTCCGGATTATACTGCGAGAAGTGTCGTCCATAAATTCAACCCGCACTTGAGTAACTCCACCGCGAGATCCTAAATAATATTAGCCGCTATCATTGGGTGGTGATTTCAATTGTTCACGACATACCGGTCCGGCCTAAGACCCGAATGACCTTCACAAACTTGACAGAAACTTTCGATTCCATAATGGCAATATGTTAGTTTGAATTTTTAACAAGTGTAGAGATTGCCGGACGAGTGGCTATCTGTATGACTGGCGGGAGGTTGGATTATTAAGGTAGCTATTGTCAACCCTATCGCACAAACAATATTTCAAATTCTTCAGTGGCCACCTTCGGTAAGCTTAGTGGGAAATCAAACTCTGCCAAGACGCTAGTCTTTCTCTGCATAGTCACAAATTACGCAACCGACGATTTCTAATCTACAGTATTCACTTGCCAACAGGTCGAGCCACTTAATTTGTTTATATTATTCTCCTCCCAGTCTAAGACTGTATTTAAGTATGTATGTATGAATTTCGTATCAGGCAAAAGCCCTACACCCAAGAGGCATGATACGGGTATGTGATCCCTAAAGACTCACTACTACCTATCTGTCCAGCTTTCTAGGCCGATTGATTACATGAAAAGAAAGGAATAAAGAAAATTTCCTGACACAAAAACGCTCTGCGCCTTTTCCACTTTCATATTCAACTGCTAAAGATATTCCAGTCCCTCGGAAAGGTTTAGTCCTCTAAATGTGAAAATTACCCTGCGTATCATGTCGTCACTGTTATGTACTTACAGAATTCCTTCCATCCGTTTTCTGTCAACATGACTCGACTTCTTGGTGGTGGTTCTTGTCTGGATATTCTCCATTGTAGCAAGGCCGTTCGGCACTTCGCAAAGTGCCAAGGACGTCTTTCCCTTCCACAGACGCATCTACAGTCTATATAGTTTAAGACCGTATATGACATGCAGTTCCTTTCTGCCTACGGGTTAAAGATACCAATCTGTTAGTATATCCCCTCCTCTACCTTCCTCGCATCTTTATTTCAACACGCAAGTTTAGACGAACATTTCACCTTTATAAAATACCAGTGTAAACACTCAGCTTTCTCCAAATATAGAGATAGCCCGGAAGATTTGATTTAGAAAGCAAACATAAATATTCAGTCGACGACCTATAACAAATATAGGTCCTGCCATCCTGGACGAGACCTAGACTATCTCAACTCAATGGCCTGGCAATAAACCGAATCAACAGCACAAAATAGCTTTTCTCATCAATGGCTTGTCATCTTTCTTTTATAGATTAAGATGCTGTTACACGTGCAAAAAGAAGCACAAATTATAAAATTTGAAGTTCAGGGTATGGATACTTTTGTATCGCTATTCTCACTGAACTATGTAGCTATATAACACAGATAATGAGGATAAAGAGGGAAGAGTTCATAGATGAGTTCGTAAGACTGACTTTTTTTGATAAGATTTTCGGCTTTGAGGTGTTTATGGGCGCCAGTATAAAATTATTTGGGTGGTACTATTGACTATTCAACAATATGTTGTTCTATGTTAGCCTATGATGGAGTTATGAGAAAGTTGGGTTGCTGAATGCTACAACAGTTGGCCCAAATTAAAGCGTTGAAGTAAAAATGATCTCTTGGTTATCATCTGGAGGTGCAAGTGAGACGCAAGCCACCGAAATATGAGTGTTTGTTGTCCATTGTATAATTTCTTATATTGTGGGATTGACCGCTGGGTGAGATTTTCACCCTACGAGATCAACTGCCCGTGTAAATCATGTAATTCAAAATATCTAAGTAGATGCAGACCTAGGTGAAGTCAGTTCTTCCCATACCGTCATGTGACAAACGAGAAGTTTGAAGCCCGAGGGATGGGTCCGGGATTCATGCAGGTATTGTGAAAGATCCGAACGCGTGTATACAAATTGAAGTCGACCATCCTGTTCTTATTCACGTTATTTATACTGCTCGCTTCTGTGACTATCTGGCACGTTGAGCTACTCTCTGACCCAGGCCACACTTTGTAGAGTGCTCCTTGCCTCTCATGTTTCTTGAAAGATCATTGATATGTTGCCCTTGATGAATTGCCATTCAGCTCAGTATTTACCAGTGAAATTCAACCACCTTTTCCCCGGATCCTTCTTCTCAGAAAAAAAATAAATAAAAGGTAGCAATGGAAACTGCGTGCGCGGGAAAAATTCTTAAAAAAACTGTTGCCCCAGCCAGGCGAGGCCTAGACACCGGGGCTACATGAGGTGCGCATATCCATCTATATCTTCCTTCTTTGTAACAGTCGAGGCCGACTTGATCCAATCCACCATCTCCGTATCGGGTGCTAAATACGCTCCAGAAACTCATTGGATGGCTTTTCCTCCATGATGAAGGGTTAGTGACGAGAAGGGCTTCGACCCTGACATCTGATCTGATTGTGGTTAGCTTTATATAAATGGTGATAGGGGGATATGTTGAGAGCTGAAGGCGATACAGATGGCGAAAGAAATTGGGAATCCTCATCGAAGAGAGGAATTTGTCACTCAATCTCGGCTCTGTAGAGTCCACAGTGAGAGCTGGGGTTTGGAGGGGACACCACTGACAGGTGTTGAGAATAGTCCCCCGTTTGGATATGGTTAATAACTACAGTTCGCAACAATGTAGCTATGAAAATGATCAGAGTGGTTGAAAATATGGAGTACAGAGATAAGTCAGGTGGTGCTTAATGGAAGTGATTGATAAAGGGTTTAGTTGTTGAGTCTTCCATTAATTCTGTATTGGAATTCACTCTGCTGATGCCATTGGGCTTGATAATAATTAGTTCTGACCGCCCCGTATTTGGCGAACGGAGATTGCGTATACCCTGTGCTAGCGTTTTTTTTTGCATCAGATTTTAACTGCGTATGCATCTATTTAGCTATGACACAAAATCAAAGAAAATTATACTACAGAAGATTCAACGTAAAGGAAGAGCACTCATGCCTCGGATTTCATTTGCAGGTACTACTGCGAAGTTATGCCGGCTTTTTCTTCATCCCAAGTCAACCCTCATCCGTGAATACCCACCCGGGGGAACGTCTCAAAACCCCTGGGTTATCCAGACATGCCTCCGTCATCCATCAACTTTTCTCCGCGCGAAATGTAATCTGAGATGTCTCCTTCCCAAGTGAAGTAGGTGCCCAGGCTACTCAAACTATACCGGAGAACACCACCAGGAGGCGGATCACTACACCTTCCATCGTCTGCTTATTTTTATAGTGTCAGCTGCACTCTCGCAAGCGAAGTCTTGGCGCGCACAAAGCTCAATTCGTAAAACTCTTGCCAAAATTCAGAATTTCACGCTCTTCGAGGTAATATCCTTCCTTTGTATCATCTTGTGAACATGTCCCGATTCCTCTCACGTCCATCCCAAAGAGCTTTCTCCCAGATTTGTGCTTCACGCTTTGCTTCCTCCGTCAGGTATAAATATCGGCGTGGGCGTGTATTTGGTGACCGGCTGAGGCCAGAGAAAGTCGACGAGATGTGTAATCATTGGAATGAGGATGTACTAGGTCGTACTTGTGTACTTGATGAGGCTTAGATGGGATTAAGACTCTTTGGGAAGAAAAAATTGACGTTGTTAAGTATTTTGAATCAATAACTCGTGGGCCAACTTGTTCGGTATTGCGAAGTTTGACTGAACTTGTCTCTGGGAAGATATTTCATCCCGGGATCGTAATTAACACTGCTGTCATGTATACAGTCTTTACTCTCCACCTCTCACCAAGGGCATTACATCAATAATCTTTCAAGAAACACGAGAGGCAAGGAGCACTGTACAAGGAGTGGCCTGGGTCAGAGAGGAGCCCAATGTGCTAGATAGTCATAGACTCAAGTAGTACAATAAACACAAACACACACACTCTCTGCCACCATTCGTCCACAAGCTCTTAGCTGCTTAGTTTGACTGAACTTGGCTCTGGGAGAATATTTCACTCCCAGGTTCGTAGAGGACACCTCAACCAAACATCTATTTAGACGTGAAACGGGTAGATGGGCTCTGAGAGCTCATTACTACCTACATGACCGGCAGTGAAGCCAGAAGCGGCAAAAGAAAAGAAGGAGGGAAAAAAAAATAACAGTATATGTCTGAGTTACGGTACCCTGCGCCGCATCCCTATCTTCCACACCCATCTCTTCTCGAGTCAGAAACAATCTCAGCGTGGTCACCTTCCACCTTGTTCATTCTTCGGCAGACTGTAACATCTGCTTGTAGTTAAGAATTAAATGTTCTTCTGCCATCCCTTCTCCTCTATCATTTCTCTGGCCCCCGGTAGGGCCATTTTCTCATAGCTTCTCCAACGTTGCAAAGCAGATCGGCACTACAGATGTAGCAACACACATTTTTCTTTCCACGTCCCAAGTGACGAAATCATATATCATATACGACCTGTTACTGTCATAAATATCTTTCACTTACTCATGCCGCCCCATTCCTCCGCAGAGGCTGGCTCTTGCCCCCCCCTTCCACCCGTTAATTCGACGCGTCCTGACGTCTAAATGGTCCTTACAGGGCCACCCAACCATCCAAGTATTACACAAACAAACGCGGAGCCTATCTGCGCGACGAGCTTCCAATACTCGCCCCCAAACCAAGCCGAGTCATTAGGTGTCACTATGACTAACTTCCTCGCAGATGAAGCGAGGGCTTTTAATTTACGCTTCGCAGAGGCTGAGCGTATCTTCAGTGGGTACATTAACCTACTGGCTGCTACAACCAACATACAGCTCCGACGCGCTGTCGAAAAGAATGGAGAGGCTTTACAGGCCATTATTACAAACATCCTGCGCGGAAACCCCCAGCCCCTATCCAGTGGGCCATCAGAGGCTGCCAGTAGCAGCAAGACGACAACCCTTCCGCCACCGGCTACAAAGCCAGGAGGAAAGAATAACGCGAGCACCCTACGACCTGTGCAAATCCTCGCTAGGGAAACCAGCAGCCAGTCGAAAGACAAAGAGCTAGCTTCGACAAAACCTACGAGGCAAGCTGAAGGCGACGAGCCCAAAAACACAAACAATACTGAGAGATCCTGGACCCAGGTGGTCAGGAAAAAGCCAAGGCCTGTACAACCAGTAGCGCCAACACCTCTACCAGTCCACGGGTCCCAGTCAAAAGCAACTGGGCCTACAAAATCACCGAGGTCAAGCACC